CTAATTTTTAGCATATAGCTCTCCCTAATTTCTGATAAACTAGAGAGAAGGCAGTTGGCTACTCAACAATACCCACCGCTAACTCTTGTTTGAGAAAATAGGTGTATTTGACTGTCACTCTTATGGCGCACCTACGGCACCACAGAGTAGAGTGCGCTTGTGTAGTAACGGTTGTTGTTGTTTCAACTAAAAGTTACGCAATGGATTATCTGCGCTCTGCCTACCGTGTGGAATCAAATCCTGAATTATAGCAATGTAAGCCCGTAAACTTACCACTGACATAGCAGGTGACTTGCAGCAATGTACTGCAAACCATTTTTGGAATTCATAGTCCGAGCACGCTAATATGCAGAAGCCACGCCCAACCTCCTTCACAATATCCACGTTATCTTTCTGTTTGACGATTTGAGTGCCATAAAACACACATTTAATTTTTCCGTGGAGAAGAAATATTATATTAACCAAGTTCAAGTAAAGTTAAGTCCCAGCCGTATGAAAACGACACATAAAAACCTATGCTGAAATCCGGCTTCATTAGCATAAGCAGGCGAAAATGGTAACACATTTCCGCTAGACGAGGCACACATTAGTTTGGTTCCTTTTAGTGCATTGCACTGATGTATAGGAAGCAAAAACAATCAATATTTTTATTTATCTTCATTTATCCAATTTCTATTAAACATTTAAATAAAGGATTTTCACAGCGAAGGTAGCACTAGTCTTTCATAAACACAAATGCTTCCTTTTATCATTATTGGACAGAAGTAATGAAAAATAGAGTGCATTATGATCAACTCCTGTTTTATACTCTTATTCATCATTATCTTTCAATAATACAGCTTTCTGGCTCTCTCTTAAAAAATTGTAAGGCCGAAACCTGGATGTGATAGTGCTAAAACTGAAAAGGTAATGGTGGCGACATCTATCACACACGCCAAAATCTTATTAAAGTCACTATTTGTTCCGATACAAAGGAGTTTCTTGGAACCTAAGCAAAAATAAAACTTAAAATTATACCCACAATCATACTATTTCTAAAAATAATAGTTGTTAGCTCAGTCAAGATGAAAAAAATTCAACTTTTGATAAACTATGTAGTGACTATAGATATTTCTGTGGAAAGTCAATTTTTCCATTAAAGAAACAAATTGTTTAGTTAAATTAAAATATTCATTTAGTGAATTTTTGTTTTTAAAGAGAAAAATAAAAATATAAGAACAAACTCTGACATGAAGCTGGCAGTTTTATGAATAATTAGAACCTCTAACATTTCTAAGTACCAAAAAATCATTCCAAAGATTATTTATTATTTAAATAGGTTTAATTAATAATTACTTTTCATTACTATTTAAATTTAACTGAGAAATCAAACCAACCAGTAACAGCTGTGGCTTTTACTTCTGATTTCTGTTTAATTCTACATTTAATTAGCTTTTATTAGAAACAACTCTGGTCGGGTTTACTATAACTCCTGATGGAATTAAATAATTGCTATTGATGTTAGGATTGCCATGATTAATAATTGCCATAGATGAAAAATATTAATAATAAAAGTAAAGTTCAATTACTTAAGCTAGTTCCAAGTGTCAGAACTTTATATTATACAGTGATACATGAAAAAAAACAAACAACTTTGATGTGGTGAGAAGTTAATTTTAAAAGAATGGCTCAGGCTTAAAGAACTTTAATTCAATAATTTTTAAAAGAAATTTTACCATGTAATGGAAATTACAAAACTGTTTGGAACCGTAAGTTCAGTTTCATAGTAATATTCATCTTTCCAATAAAGAGAGACTAGAAAGATCTATCATTTAAAAAAAAATACAAGTTGATCCTAATATACTCTAGTTCTCGTTCTCATACCTTCCCACTGTGATATATAAGAATTGTTTGTTTGCTTTGAATTTTGCACAAAGCTACACGAGGGCCATCTGTACTAGCCATCCCTAATTTAGCACTGAAAGACTAGAGGGAAGGCAGCTAGTCATCACCACCCACCACCAACTCTTGGGCTACTCCTTTACAAATTAATAGTGGGATTGACCATTACATTATAATACCCCCCACAGCTGAAAGGGCGAGCATATTTGGTGGGATGGGGATTCGAACCCACAGACTGTCAGTTGATTTCCCTAACCACTTGGCCATGCCAGGCCAATATATAAGAAAAGATAGTTCTTGATAAAATTCTGGAAGTGTTCTAACAAAAAATATACCAAATTAATTACAACACTAACACCTAGTGGTTGTGTATTCAGACTAAGTCAACATTACAAACTGAAAAACCTATTGTAGTAAACATCTTCATAGTTTCATTTATAAATTTGTTAATATTAATGTAAAATGCTCATAAAATATCCAAAATCAATTTATAATAGCTCTTTAAACTAAGTTTTTAAGGTTATGCACACATCTTTGTTTATTATATATAGAAACAGGATAAATCCATGAATAAACTTAAAAATGAAGAAACCAATTTTCCAAGCATTCTGGTTGCTCAGAGTGTGGATTCTATAATATAACAGTTTTTTTAAGTTATAATTTTTTTTCTAGTTCTGAACTTAAAAAAAAAAAACATACTCAACCATGATGTTAATTTCAATAAAAATATTGTATTTCAGTTACTAAGAGTTAATTAATTAAAATAATAATGTTTCTTACAAGTGATGACAATGATTTGATGTTATTTACTAGAAATATAACAGTTTTCACACATAACAATTCATCATATTCAAATAATAATGGCACTTAGAAGTGATAATGATAAGTAGGGACTGTGTTACTGATACATCTTGAGAGACAGAATGGCATAATTTTACTTCTGTTTGCAGAAGCAAGTTGTTTAAAAGTGAAACTGATATTTTCTAATGTTTATATCAAGAAAAGAACTTGTATCATGGTAAAAAAATATCTTGTTATCCAAATAATAATGGTACATTCAGTTGTTTAACTAAACCAGTAAATTGTTTTTTGCATTTGAATCTGACTTGTAATAAATGTTACTCCTAATTGTTAAAAGTAGTGCTACTTTCAGATACTTTTAAATGAAGTAAAAACCACTAGTGTTGGACTCAGTTTATATAATTACTTTATTAAAAACAAATCGTTATATCTTCATAATTATGTTAGGTTGAAGCAATGACAATAATGAAGGTGAACAGACTACAAAACACATTTTGTCTACAAATAGTTGTGTAGAAATTTCTTACTTACAATTATAGCAAACTGTAAAGTTATATACAAAAAAACAAGACTCATCAGATTTTCAACAATGAAAATACATATCCAACATGTTAATTAAGTGTTATTGTGAACTGATAAACCTATTGTTCATTAACACTAAAAAGAACAAATATATTTTAACTAAACCTTATGCACCTATTTTACAGTGAATGGTTAACTCTGTTGACAAACTTTACAATTAATTATTCTGAGCAAGGTATAAAATCAGCTTGATGGCAGTGAGCACCAATAACCAAACAGAAAGGTTACCTGGGTGCTTTCCTAGATACTACATGTCAAGAAAATATTCTAAGAAAATTTAAACATTGCCTTGTTCATCTTTAAAAACAAATATATTTACATAGTAAATATGCAATGCCCAACCAGAAAGTTTTTAGGCTCACAAAAAGAAGATGACCATTTTTTTCATCAATAAGGTCACTGAATATTTAAGGAATATTAATTCTTATATTCCACCGTTTCAATAAAAACATCCAAATATAAAACCCTTTTCCAATGTTTTGTCATGTTAAAATGGGGGACCTTTATTATACAAAGTTAATAAAACTTGCTACAGTATTAGAGCTATCTTTGATCCTCTTCTTCTTGGTCTTTGCTTTCTTTGATCTACTACCTAACAGTGGATCTTTCATTACATTAGGTCGAAACAGTCTGTACACATAGCAACTGAATCTACGACACTCATTTCTGGTGATGATGACAAAGGTCTCAAGGTCCATGGTTAATGTATGGTCAGCCAACTAAAAAGGTAGAAGAAAATTATCAATATCCAGTAGCAATGAAGATATTAATTGTTAAATTGTTGTCAACAAATTAAAAAATTCACATGAAACCAGACTCTTGACAAAAATTGGTAAATCCACACTCAACACATTCACTGCTACTAAATACATGTGTGTCCAAAGGTATGTTAGCCAGTGCTTCTGAAACGTGTATCAACTAAAACATTAAACACATGTTAAAAGTCAGTTCTGCTATGATGGTACTTGTGTGAGGGTCTCCTCTCATTGAAATTTTGCTTGGATGTAAATTTTTTATTTTATATATATATTTTCTGGTTGACTTAAAAATAGTGCTCCTTCAAAACCCATTATAAGAAACAATTCAAAGCAACACAGAAACTTTGATGTGATATTCCCATGGATATACATTCAAAACATACCCAAAAACCATGCCAAGATATACGAAATAAATGATGCACATGTGCATCATGTGGTACTCAAAATAATTCTAGTTGCAGTGCCAATGACACTCATGTGCATCATGGTACAGATTTTAATTGAATAAGCATATTTGCTCATAAATATTCTGATGTTATTTTGCATTATTAAAATGCTACTAATAAAAACTATAAAAAAAACTATGGCACATGGCATAGGTATCGATCTCCGAGGCAGCACTAAGTGTGTTAATATTCACTCAAAAACATAAAATAATTCACTATCAACTTATTATTAATCTATAAAACCCAAAATATTCATGTTAAAGCTGTTGTCAGAAAATCATTTACACCTCATAACACTCAGGATACTATGGTCACACTGTGACAAGACAAAACAAAACTTACATAAAAACAATCCATATCTAATATCAATCAGAATATTCATTGTAAAGGTACAATAAGAGAACTAAAGGCTTCACAAAAAAACTGTATATATTCAATGTTTCTCAGGATTCCATTATCAAGACAAAACTGATGAACTAAGAATATCATCCAAAGAATATGCATGCCTCATAATATTCAAGACATCCCTAAATAAGATGTAAGTCTCAAAATAGAAAATTCCTTACAGAAATGTTGATGGTCCACAACACCAATTATATACACCTGGAAAAAAGTTAAGCACCCCCGTGTTTTTTCAAGTGATTCAGATTCG